AATTAGCTTTTCTTGCTTGGCCCCATGCAATCAGATCTCATCTATACAATCCTAGTCATGATTCATGTAAATAAGATTTTCACTAACTGTGTCCTTGATATAGAAAAACTGTCCTAGCATTACAAATACTCTGTTGAGAGAAAGAATAGATAGTATGGCTTCAAAAAGGTAGACCAGGAAATAAACAAGAACAACAAAACAAGGAACAAAATTATCAGGGGGAAATCATTAGTGTGCTCTGTATTACAATTCATATAGGTCTCAATGATTTTTAAAATAATTGTTATTTTTTACACACACACGAAGAAATACCCACACACAACATTCACTAAACATATATAAAAATCTTATGAAAATATGTATATATTAAAATTAAAAAACTAGAATAAAAGGGATACACTATATACAGAACAACATCTTTTTTCCAGAGGAGATATAACATATTCATAAACATTCAGATCTCATAAAACATAAGAGAATGTGTACAAGAAAGAAACCACATAAATGTTCCACATGTGGGAAGAATTCAAACCTATGTAAGTATTATACAGGGATAAACCTTTAAAATGGGCAAGGTTTTTGTTTTTTTACTGGTATGCAAATTGCATTAAATGTCAAGCATCTACACAGAGAAACAATCCAAATGTTCTACATGTGTGAGAAGCTTTCTTCTTCAATCAAGCCTTCTTTCACATGAAAGGTGATGACAATGATTACAATTTGTATACCTCCCTTCAACTTTAGATCTCAGGATATTCACAACATGAAAAAACCACAAAATACGTAAGATCCCCCACAGAAGAACAGCTATTTAAATATTCCAGTTGTAGGAAAAGTGTTCTGATTTCATGAAGCAACAGAGAATACGCACAAGGGAAAACTGCCCATTCTCCATGTGTGAAAAAAATTGTCAGTGACCAGTCTTCCTGTACATTAAAGATTCCACACAGGAGAGAAGCTGATAAAACGCTCCCATTGTGGGACTTGCTTATTTCAGAAGCAGGATCTCGTTAAAACACCAGAAATCCACACAGGATAGAAACCCTGCAAATGCCTCACATGTAAGAAAAGTTTCAGCCAGGAATACTCTTATCATACACGAAAGATTCCACGGAGAAAGGCCACATAAGTGCTCCAATTATGGAAATGGCTTCAGTTGGAATTCTGAGATTGTTGAACACAAGCAGAAACACATAGGGCGATAATCACTGATAATCTGCCTTCCCCTTGCCTTCTCTTTTTACAGCAAAGCATGGTTGGGTGACTGCCTTTAATGCCTCCTCAGTATAAAACCCAACTCAGTCCAAGTAGAAATTCTGACACAGTGGCCTGGTTCAGTTATCATGAAGGCACAGGCTCCAGGAGAGAAATTCACAGATGTTTTGCTCCTCCCTGGTCCTTTTTGCTGCAATGCCACATTGACCTAAGCCAAAGTTTGGTTTAGTATGTCATCTGAACCCATGCTCATGATAAAATTCTCTCCAGACTAACCACACACTGTAATCAAGATCAAATCTGGGTTGTGGTTAGGCTTTGGCTTAGTGTGATATGCAAACCAAGGCAATGGCAGATGAAGCAAGCTGTATCTTCCTAACATAGGGTCCATGTTGTGCTCAGTGCCTGAAACTCTTCCCCAACCAGCTTGTGGGCAGGGCTTGCCCCGCTCCAAGCCGGTGGTGCCATAGTTATGCCACTGGCCTTTAGCCAATCGGCATCGTGACAAATGTTGGGGGTTGGGGGTATCTATTTGGCAGCGTGATGTAGGGACCTCCTTTTGCTTCGCACTGCCGAACATCCACCCACCCACCCGTTAATTAGGTTGTGTTTGGCCTTGCTTTGGACTTCAGTTGGTCGCCTGTTTTGGAACGGGGGCTGGGTAGGAATTTTTCCCAATGTGGCAGATTGGCTGTGGCCACTTGGTTTGCTATCTCTTAGCAATCATCACAACTTTGTAAGGTTTGGCGGTTAGGCATTGGTTTAGGGGAATGTGGGGAGGGTAGGTGCGGCCACCACCTGCCCCTCCAATGAATAGGTATTCCGTTAAAGGAATCTGGGGGTCTGGATCTCGTCTGAAGGCCGGAGAAGGGCTAGGGCCATGCCAGGACCCCCCTGGAATCCCAGGGGTGAGCACCAGTCAATATACACTGACGGAGATCCCCCTGCTGGTTGTTTACCCTTACAGGCTTCCTGCAGGGTAGGGCAGGAGCCAGATATAGTTTTGATACCAATGCCACCAGTCACATTTGTGTATTCAATAAAGTTGTGGCCAAAATTTGCCCACAACTTTATTTGCCCACAACTTCTGTCTCCACTGTGTCTTTATTTCCATGATGGATGGGTTTTGGGGCTCGGAGCACAATCAGCAGCATACTGGCTTTCAGCCATTTTAGTGAAGAGTTTTACAAGTTTTGAGTAATCTTCTACATCAGGGGTAGTCAAGGTGATGCTCTTCAGGTGTTTTGAGCCAAAACTCAATGTTCAGGGACAGTGGAAGCTGTAATTGAACATGTCTGGAATCGAAGACACTTGGCTAGCAATGTGGGGAGAAAACTCCTTTTCATAAAATATCAGCTAACTATAAAGAACTGTCATTGAAGTTGATTCATAAATGGTACATGACTCATAGGAGGCTATTGAAGATGAATTCATTTGTATTCACAAGATGCTGGAGGGGATGATCAGAAAGTGGGTTGTAGCTCCACCTACAGTGCAGTTCTACTAGAGTGCAATAATTCTGGGCTACGGTATTCAGAGAAACGGATATGATCTTTAACTGCCACATTATCCCAACTTCTCAATTAGCACATTTATCTATATTTGACAAGGATAGCAAAAAAAGTATAATAAACATTTGATAGCGCACCTGCTTATAGCAGCTAGGATGGACCATCACACAATTTGGGCGGGGGAGATAGATGAGGCCAATCTTGCTACTTAGGATCATAGAACTGTAGAGTTGGTGATTCTCAGGGTCCCTTACAACTCCAACCCGCAGCGATGCAGGAATCCTGCCCACAGCCATCCCTGAGTAGACTCAAACCACCAACCTTCTGGTTAACAAAAAGCCACACTGACCCATTGTGCCACAGAGAACATCCATCTTGGTACAGTAAAATTTGCCCTGCTGCAAAAACTAACTAATAAAACTGATAGTCATTAGATGCCAAAGGGGGAAAGGGGATGCTTTTGTACTTGTTTGGTCTGACTGTATTTCATTTGTAAGCAAGGAGGAACATGGCCAAGATGTTCTGCCTATCCTATGAATGAATATGGCTGATATCGTGACTCAAGGCATTTGAATATTTCAAATACGGTACTTTCACTTGGTATGATAGGGTTCATGTTTTGTAACCTTGTCTTGTTTAATCATTATGTCCACATTATAAAGTTCTAGTTGCTACCTTTGGTGCATTCACATACCTTTATTAATTTTGGTTTTGATTTTTGTTTGTATTTGTTCAACAGTGATCTCAAATTGTATATGTATATCGTCACCAGATCCTGTTTGATCACACTGTATGTTGCAGAATCTCTTAAGTTAATAAAGATTGTAATGATAAAACACGCACATACATCTAGAAAGCAACACATCAATCCACCCAGGCTGTTCTTTTCCACACTTTCCATGATAAAAACTCATTATTCACATATTTACAGGAGGATATCAATTTTTCAGGCTCATAACCATATGAGGCAGTTTTCTAATAGTGACAGAAACTGAAGTATATGAAATCAATCTGTAAACGAAAAACTCTGGAGAGCAAGACTCAGAGATCTTATTTGACATATTGTCCTGCCATTAGGAAAGCGTTAAAAAAAAATGCACCACTACCTTACCAACTCTGAATCAGCAGATTTCAGCAAGCCAATAAAAATGGTTTACAGAAGAAAATTAACACTGCATGACTGCTACCACAAGCCACTCAGCAAATGTAAATAAGATAACAGAGCCTTTATAACAAATATAGCCTCTACGGCAAAGATATCAGCACTTTAGTAGGACGCTTATTGTTATAGACAAAAAAGGCTCTACGTGGCCCAGTGGAAATATATGATGCAACGAGTGAAGCTCACCCATCATCTGTTTTCCACCACTCTAATTAATTCTTTTTAACATTGTACTTATTTTCTTTCTCTTACAAAACTACTTCTCGTAATTTACAAAAAATTTACAAGAATTTTACAAAAAATTACTAAACGGTCATTCGGTACATATATACATTTAAAACAATCTAAGTCATAATTAAGAGAGTCCAAGGATAATAACAAGAAGATTTAAAGACGGGACTAGTGGACACTCAAAGCAGTAGAAGATGAGATGATTGGACCCCCACTGAACTTGAAGCATGGGAACCCCCAACAAAAAAATTATAATTTGGCAAAATATTTGGACTTTATGATATATATTTGTATAATTTGGAATATTTAATGTGATTTGATTGGATTGTTAAAATGGAAAACTTAATAAAAATTATTATTTAAAAAGTCATAATTAAGAGAGTCCATCAACAGTTGCATAATTGGGCGTGTCCATAAAGTATGTCGCACATCCTGAGGTATTTTTAATACATGCAGGGAAGAAGGCTGGCTGCTTGCTCATAAGGGTTTGCTACACGTGCGTCAGGGTGGGTGCAAAAGGGCTCCAGACCTCTCATGATGTCTCAGAGAGAGTCAGGTAATGGACGAAGGAGGGAGAAGCTGCCACAACAAAGAAGGAGAGAGTAACCTGTGTAGAAAGGTATATAGATAGGTACCACCACCACCACCACCCAGTGTCGGATCTACACATTTTGTCATGGGCGCAAAAGTCTGCACTACCACCACCCCTCATCATAAATAAACTTTAACAAATGACTGCTCAGACTATACAAAAATCTGTCTTGGGTGGGAGGGAGTTGAAGGATCTCTTAATTCTTACTGGCAGAGAGATTCCACATGCATCGATGTACGCATATACAACAAGCTGCTTAGCCATGTGTGCCAGTTATTCAGAAACTTACCATTTATGCAGATTTCAAATGATTTGCAAAGGTCATCCTCAAACAGGCAGCCTAGAAAGAATGCAATGAAAACACAAAATCAAGACGGTGTGAAAGCAATGCAGTTGCAGTACAGTCCCAACATCTCAAGCTATAAAATCTCAAACTGGAGTCAGACCTTTGTTTGATATTCTAAACCGAGCAGTACAGAAGAAGCCAAGAGCATAAAGTAAATGTAAAGAATGAATGGGAAGAATACAGAAATATAATACCTGCTACTGAGCGCCTGGTCCCCAAAGGATCGTTTCCTGAGGCACAGCTTTCATGTAGTATATCCAGCCATTATGCTGGGCCTCAAATCCAGAATGTGTCTATGACCATCTTAAGTCAATAGCTAAAAGCTGGTGTCACTGCTTATATACCCAACTGATCACTGCAGGAGGCCCTCTCCTGCAGATACCATCTCATCAAGAGATCCATTCAATACAATGAACGAATTGGACTTTTAGTGTAACAACACCTACCCTTGGGAACTTCTTTCCATTACATATCAGACAGGGCACATTTCTATCATCTTTGTGGTACTTATTGAATACTTTCCTTGGATGGCCACTATAACAAGGTCCTGTACACAGAAAGACTTTGTATTTCTGGTCAACCTCAGGTGGAAGACATCACTCATAAAGAGAAACAAGAAATTGCTTTCTGAAATCTCTGTTTGCAGAAACAAACAGGTACACCATGGTAGAAATGGTTCTGTTTCTTCTGAGTGGCAATAATAGCTTTGTAACACAGAAAGTGGCCATCTGCGCACCAGCTGCAACAACAACAAAAATCAGGGGAAATGAGTTAGATAAAAGCACTATAAGTTGTTTTGGGAATTCAGACGTTAAGTTTGTGGGCGTCTCTGGTATCTTCTCTCTCTTACATCCTAGATGTTGGTTTATATTATGGGTGTTATGTTCTCTGTGTTTTTACTACTATTGCTACAAGTTTGCCATGTCTTTCTACTAAAACGATAAACTTATGAACTATGTATTGGCATTGAAAGTGTTTTCATAGGTTTTCTTGTTTATATATGCTTTTCTTGTTGATGGTTTGATGGTTAAATTGCTTTGGGATGCTTTATAGGAAGTGTCATGTAAATTAAATTGATAAATAATAAAGGAAGCTAGATCCACCAGGACCAGCAAGAGTTTTAGAAAGCATGCTCATCATCATAATGATTGTGGTGGTAGTCTCAACTCTAGTAGACAAGATGCATATGAAATAATTCGAACCTTATCCCTTGCGGTTTAGAATTTGCATGTGATACACCTATCATATATCAGCTGTCATGGTGGGACATGACATATCTTACACTTGCTGGGGTAGTAAGAACAAACTGAGTAGATGGGAACGAAAAACAATGACAAAAGCACACCTTTAAAAACATACTTAGCTACGGTATGACAATTTGCATTGAAGGCAAAATGTTTTATTCTCAGTGTTGTGTTCTCAAATTAAACATGCCCAGGAATGGACTACTTATCTTTCCTTCCAAGTCTTCTCCTCAATCCCTCTTTGCATCTGTCAACAAAACCACTATGCAACCTCTTAATCAGCCATTCATGCAATAGTTTTATCTTTCATTCTTCTATCTTCTTTCCTACGCACATTAAACAGCTGTCAAGTCCTGCCATTTCTCTTTGTTCTCTCTCCCCCCCTCGTTCTTCCTCTCTCTAAGCCAATTCTTCTCTGCTACGTCAGCTATAACACTGGTTCATGTTCTGGTCATCTTTTATCTGGTCTTCCTCTTTCACATCTCAGACCTCCCATCTCTCTATCCACAGCTACCCTGTCAAAAGTACTAATTTATTCCATTGTTCAGACCAAGAAACACCCTTCTTCAGATGCTGTCACTGGATTACAATTTTGGCCCAAGCTCCTCATTACATCCCTAGCTATGATCTTTACTTATCCAACTCCACCATGCTCAGCTGATTACATGTCTCCAGAATAACTCAACATATTGTCCCTTGTTTCTTCCTATGAATAAAGGCATCCCTGAACATGTACATGGTGCCATCTCTCTCCCTTCCTTCAAATCGCCCATCAAAACACATCTATTCTATGTGGTCTCTGATCACAGAATCATAGAATTGTAGAGTTGGAAGGGACCCCGAAGGTTATCTAGTCCAAACTCCAGCAATACAGGAATCCCATCTAAAATATCCATGGCAGGTAGCCATCCAACTCCTGTTTAAAAACCTCCAAGGGAGGAGAGTCCACTACCTTCTGAAGAAGCCTGCTCCATTGTCAAACAGCTATTATTGTCACAATGTTCTTCCTGATGTTTAGTCGGAATCTCCTTTCTTGTAACTTGGATCCCAATTCTGTCTTATGAAGCATTAGCTACCCTTCCCAGCTTGGTGTCACCTGAAAATTTAATGAGCATCCCCTCAATTCCTTCATCCAAGTTGTTATAAAGACACTAAACAACAACGGGCCCAGGACAGAACCAATGTGGCACCTAACTTGCCACATTTTTCCAGGATGATGAGGAACTATTAGTGAGTACTCTTTGGGTTTGGTCAGCCAACCATCTACAAATCCACATAATAGTTACCTGTTGCTTTATAAGTCGATATGAACTGCCTTGAATGCACTGTTTAATTAATACTCAGTTTGACCCCATCAACATAAATATGGGTAGGAATTTTGGTGACAGCCAGTCCCAACTGACTTTTGACTTCCTTATATTGAATCTGCCATTTTGTTGTTCAGGCACCAAACGTAAAGAGATTACTTTAGAACAAGTGTGTAATTCAAATAAGTGATTTTAATTCTGTTCGGTCCCTTTTGCATTATCACCTAATATGTACTCAATACGCACAAGAAAAACTTATTATACAAAGCTGCACCTTCAATGTTTCAACAAAACTTGACAATTACATGCTGATTAGAATGAGGCATCTGATGCAATTAACCAGAGGATCTATGTCTTGAATAGCAAATTAATAAACTCATGTGTGGCAAACTCTGGTACTGGTTTGCTGGGGAAAGCAGATTAGAAGGACCTCTAAATCTCCTTGAAAAACGCATGATATTTGAATTGAGTTTTACATTAACTGAAGCTGAAGTTATGCATGTTTCACCCAGCAGTCAAAATGCTAATTTAAACACAAATTTATTTTTGTTATTATTTGCTACAGCATTAAGAAACAACATATTTCATTTTAAATATCATCTACCTGCTAATGGTTAATGACAGTAATAAATCATTACTGAAGAGCAAAGCAGTATCGTATCCTGCAGATCCTTTTACTCACGTCATGCATTACAAACAACTGTCTTCCATCTTCTAGCAAAATACCCACCCTCCCCGCCTTAGTTTCCAGCTAAAATAAATGCAAATGCATGCAGGATTTACCTTGTGTCAGAAACAAGCCATACATTCCCCACCTCATATATCAATATTTTATTGAAAAACACTCAGCTACTCAACCATATCAGTTTAAATTGACTAATTAGTGCAATCTGCTTTAAGTTTGCATATGAAAAAGCAAAATTTGGATGATAAAAGGATGCTGTTTGAGACCAAAATTGGGGAGTTAGAATCCAACAACATATGGAGGGCCACAGATTCCACACCTGATTTAGATAATGTGATACAGGGGTCACCAGTGTAGTGCCTACAGGTGAGAATGTGCTCACCAATACGTTTTGTGCAACCCACAGAAAGTCTCAGTAAATTTCCCCTCAAAAATCCCAAGTGCAATCCTGCTCAGCTCCTATTTGTGCTGGTTCGGCTTATCCTACATTGAACATGCCCTTTTAAACATGCCCACATTTCATTCAATATCAGGATTGAATCTTCCCTTCCAGTCTGAAGAGGTGTGCAAAGACCACCTCTCTACAAGTGTGTTGCAGGTGCCTTTCCCCCCTCTTGCATTGGTGGGGTGGCTATAGGGTGGCATGCAGCCCCTACCATTTTGTGTGCCTTTTCTCTTTTAGACGTGGCAGCTGTTTTGCGTGATGTCATACATCCCAGAACAGGCATTTTGTGAGTGGTGCCCAAATGAACCACTGGCCGCAAAAGGTTGCCGACTCCTGATGTGTTGCAGCCAACACCATCTCCAGCAAGCAAGAGGAGGTTAAGGGGTGATATGATAGCCATGTTCAAATATATAAAAGGATGTCACATAGAGGAGGGAGAAAGGTTGTTTTCTGCTGCTCCAGAGAAGCGGACACGGAGCAGTGGATCCAAACTACAAGAAAGAAGATTCCACCTAAACATTAGGAAGAACTTCTTGACAGTAAGAGCTGTTCGACAGTGGAATTTGCTGCCAAGGAGTGTGGTGGAGTCTCCTTCTTTGGAGGTCTTTAAGCAGAGGCTTGACAACCATATGTCAGGAGTGCTCTGATGGTGTTTCCTGCTTGGCAGGGGGTTGGACTCGATGGCCCTTGTGGTCTCTTCCAACTCTATGATTCTATGATTCTAAGCCATTCGCTTTTGCAGGAGAGAAAGGAATGCCTCTTGCAAGACGGCACCTACAAGGTCCAGGTCCTGTGAGCATCTGAATTACACTGTTTAAAATCTTCAGCATAATTTTTCAAACGGAGTTGTTAAAACAAACTTATTTTAAGCTAGTAATCTAATCAATTCATTAATCCATTAAACAGTGCCATCCTACTCCCTTTTCTCTAATATCAGTGGTCTTTAAATATGGAAAAGCCCTCCCTTACATCACATTGTGACCCATCTGCTACCCTCGTTCCTAATTCCCCTTTGCAGAAGGAAACACAGTGCTCTGCCTCTTCAAATATTTCAGGCTGCTGGAACTAGTATATGCCATCTGCTCCTAGAACTGATTTGGTGTTGCTCATGCTCTGTGGAGCTTGGATATCAGTAAGAACCCAATGTACATGTAACTAGCTTTTACTGGCAGCAGAAACTACAAAAAGGAAAGGAACTGAAATGACATATTTCTAGTTCCCAAGAAGGTCTTATTACTCGATAAATTGCACTGCACTACAGTTATTCATAGCCTGGTCAACATTCATGTTAGATCCAGCACAAACAAGAGGGG